TCACCTCCCCGCACCGTTCTGCTTTCCAGCTCCGTGGTGCAGCCAACGCTCAGCCCTTCCCGGCTTACCCCGCACCAAGGGCAGACTCCAGCCCTGGGCCGGTGGCTCTTCGGTTTTGGTTCATTTCTTTGCCAGCGGGTTGGGAGGGCTGGGGGACCAGGGCCGGTCTGGATGGTGACTTGTAGTTAGAGAACGTGGGCTAGTTATCTGCTGTCTGGTTTGACTTTTAATTTTTTGGCAAGTGACTTGTGTCCGCACTCCGGCCAGGAAACCAATTGTACTCGGTCTCTGTCGCCACCGAAATAGCGGTCTTCAACCAGTCTGTTTCTCTCTTTTTTCCTTCCCTTTTTTTTTTTTTTTGCGTGCGTGCGTGTATGTGTGTGTGCGACCTCTTCATCTGATGTTTAATAATAAAAGGGATGAACGTTACCCCCTGTCTCTCTCCTGCCTTTCTCTGAAGTCAGGGGGTCACCACTCTTGCGGGGCAGAGCCCCGGGGAGGAGGCAGTGTCGCCGCTCCCTGTGGCACCCAGCTCCTGTGGGGGAAAGGAGCAGGGGCAAGGCGTCCTGGCTGCAGTTCCCTGACGTGCACGGTGTTAGCAGGTCCCTGCCCATGCTGAAGGCGCTACCCTATCCGTGCCAGCTACAGCAGTGTTGACACCCACATCTCGATCCATCCTGTAGCCAGCCTGGACCGCAGTGAGTGTGCTGTAGTGTGGGATGGGGTGGCAGAGAGTCATAACTCCGGGTTCCTGGGTTGCTTTCTGCAGGGTTTGCTGAGCCCCAGGCAAGCTTGCCTCTGAGAATCTGAGGGAGATAAGGAGGTGTGCATGGGGGAGAACTCCAGGACTGGTGGGATGGTCGCAAAGAGACTCGGAGCTGGAGGAGGGTGATGGTGGTACAAGGGCCATGGTGCCTCTGCTGCCATCCCAATCAGTGTGGCAGGGTGGTAGTGGTGCTGGTTGTCCCCCAGGTGAGTACTTCTGTGTCTCCCACCCCCTCGGGGCTGCCCTGGGTTGATGTCATGTTGCCTATTGCCAGCTGAGCCAGACTCTGGCACTGCTCATGCTGTGAACCCCCAGCTCCCAGACTGTGACCCTGCCAGCCTCAGGCAGCCCACCTCCCCTAGCAGAGCTGAGTGCATCCATAGAGCCAGGAGATGCCTGTTATGCTCTGGGCTCACATCCTCTCCTGCAAGCACAGACACTGTGCAGCCTGGCAAGGAGAGGCAGCTCCCCCACTGTGCTGGCACCCCTGTTTCCCCATTCTGACCAACAGGATGGGGCTCAGGGACTCCCCCTGTCCCCACGTGCCCCTCTAGCTGCCTGCCAGAATGGCTCATGTCCTTCAGGGCCATCCAGTTCCCTGTCTCCCCAGCCAGAGCCACACGGCTGCTGCGGAAAAGGTGCTGGTTTAATGCTGCAGCCCAGCCTGGAGCAAGCCCTGTGACAACACACTACTTGGAGTGACTGTGCCCAAACCAGAGTTCTATCCCCAAGGCCCCAGGCTCAGCTGTGCTTGTTGATGTGACGGGAATGAGCGTGCACGGCCTCCACAAAGGCACCCACGTGTTCAGGGTTCATGTCAGGGTAGAGGCCGTGGCCCAGGTTGGCGATGTAGCGTTGGGTCCCAAAAGCCTCCAGCATCTTCTTCACCAGCTCGCCAATCTTCTCCTGTAGGCACGGTGGGAAACGATATGTCAGTCCCATCCATCCCAAGGTATTTCCCACCTTCTAGTTCCCAGCCAGCCTAAGGGACTTCTGGAACACAAGCCAGCACTGCAGGTGGGGAAATTGAGCCGGGAGGCCTTTAATACAGGCTGGAACTAGCCCCGGTTGCTGAAAATGGCCAATGGCTCACCTTGGGTGCGTAGAGAGCACAAGGATCCAGGTTCCCTTGCAGGGTGACATCTTTCCCTGTCTGTGCACTGCAGCAGGGAGGAAGCTTGTGAGTTGTTGCATGTGGTGCAGAGGCTGAGGGCAGCCAGGTGCCTGCAGCCCCCATCGCAAGACACCCAGGACCCCTCAGTGCAGCCCTTGGTTGCTGTAGCATGGTGGCCCAACTACCCCCACCTCTGGAGCAGCCATGTCCGGGCCTGGGATGGCTCAGGGCAGAAGAGCACCTGAATGTTCTGTCAGACTCTTACCGAGCTTCCTGGGGCCGGATGGTCCAGTCGAGACCGACCACCTCATACCCAGCATGGGCCAGGTCACGCAGCGCGTAGTGCGCGTCCTTCGCAAAGATGATCTGGGGAGGGAGGAGATGGGCAGTACCTCTGCTATGGGTCAGGCCCCTCTCCACGGGCCAAACTGGGGCAAGCAGGTACCAGGGGATGCACCCCTCTCCAGCAGCCCCCAGGTGCCAGGGTCAATCCAGGCAGCCCCGACTCACCATGGGCACCAGGGGCAGCGCCTCCTCCTTCAGCTTGCTCTTGACAGCCTGGGCGATGTCTCGGATGTACGGCAGGGCAAAGTCCTGAAATTGCTCTGGGCCCAGGTGCCCTGCATGGGACTCAAACAGCTGGAGCGCCTGCCAGGAACATGGAGTCATTTAGGTCAGAAAAGACCTTTAAAATCATCCAAGTCCAATAGTTAACCCAGCACTGCCAAACCCACCACATATCCCCAGGTGCCACAACTACATCTTTCAAATACCTCCAGGGATGCCAACTCAACTACGTTCCCATTGGGCTGGGAGAGCAACACCACAGTCCCTCTCCTCCTCCCAGAAGCTAAACCCTCTCTGCTCCCTGTCCCCAGTCCCTGCCTTCCTGCCTGGCCCTGTCCCCATGCCCCAGGACACACCTGCGCTCCAGCAGCCACCTGCCCCACCAGGTAGTCAGTGATGACATCGGCCAGCAGCCGCAGCAGCTGGTGGCTCGCCTCGGGGTGCCGGTAGAGCCAACTCTTGGCCTTGGCCATTGTAGAGGAGCCGCCACCTTCAATCATGTAGGACATGAGTGTCCACTGCGGGCAGGAGAGAAGTGAGGAGGGTGATGGAGATGAAAGAAGACATGAGGCACCAGTCGCAGCGCTGAAGGTAGGACCTGTGAGCACCCCAGAACCTGAGGCACAGCTGCTCCTGCATTGAATGTCCCCCACTTACACAGCCCTGTAGCACCCACATCCAGAGGTGTCATGGCTGGTGTTACCCCAGCAGGACAAAGGAGCCCAGCAAGGAAACCCACACGGAGGAGCCACATCACTTACCGGTGCCCCTGAGAAGCCGATGAGGGGCACCCTGCCCTCCAGGCTGTGTCGTGTCAGTGTGATGGCCTGGAAGACATAACCTAGCTCTGCGGTCACGTCCACCTTCTGTCGCAGTTTCAGCAGATCCTCCACCTCTTTCAGGGGCTCTGTGAAAGTGGGTCCCTTGCCGGGGACCATGACAACCTCCATGCCCAGCGCCTGGGGACAGGGGAGAATGGAAGAAGCAGGAATGAGGCATCCCTGAACTCTGCCCTGGTCCCAGCAGCTGCTCCCCATGACATTGGCCATGGCTCTCACCTGGGGCACCACCAAGATGTCAGAGAAGATGATGGCAGCATCCAAGGGGAATCGTCTGAGTGGCTGCAGAGGAGAAGTGGCAGTGTCAGCGAGGGGCTGGGACCGCTCCCCATGGAGGACCCGGACAAGCACATGAGACAGTGGGGTCTCCAAGTGCTGAACAATTTACTGGCACCACCTGGGGAAGCCAGACACAGGGCTTCTCCCAATCCACGTCTGGTCAGGGAGAGGGAGACACACCTGCACACCTGCAGACACACACAATGCTCACCTGCAGCGTCAGCTCACAGCACAATTTGGGGCTCCGGCAAGTGGCAAAGAAATCCTGCGCTGCTCGGGTCTCCCGAAACTCTGCAGGGGACCAGCACAAAGGTTACCGGGTGCATGCTGAGGGCCCCTCGCTGCCCCCGACATGCCTCCACCGGCTCACCTGGCAGGTACCGCCCCGCCTGCCGCATGCACCACACCGGGGTGTGCTCCGTCTCCTCCCCGCGCGCCGCACGAAGGAACGTGTCGTTCTTCAGCTTGGGGAAGCCCTTGGGACTACGGGAGAAAGAGCAGGTACAGGCTGACACCCACGAGGGCTTTGGGGCAGGCGATGCCATGGCCAGCGGCTCATCCCCACTCCCCAGCCGGTGACCGCAGGAAAGGGCTTGGGCCCAGCTGTGACAAACGTGATAAATTGTCCCCACCACAGTCCAGGGCCTTTCCCTGCTGGGGGCTGCGGGGCCCTCCCCAGGGAGAGGCGATGCCCGGCGCAGGGCCCGTGAGATTAACTTATCGGGGCCACCAGTTGCTCCCGCCTGGAGAGGTTTGGGACGAGCGGGGCGCGGGGGCGGGCAGTCCTGCTACCGGCGGCCCCGGCCCCTATCTGTGCCGGGCCACGCGTCCCCAGCCTCCCCGCCGCGGTGTCACCACCGAGGGGCTGCTGGAGCCCGACCGGCCCCGGGGAGGGGAACCCCGAGAACCGCGGGGCCCATGGGGACAAAGTCCCCAAAACCTCCACCGTGGGACCAGCAACTTCGTTACCACAGCAGAACCAGTACTCGCAGAGCCTCCTCAGTGCAGAATCAACCCCCACAGCGCCTCACCAGTGACCTCAGTGCCGGACCCTGGTGCCAGCACCACAACCCCAGGGCCACCGCAGTGCCTCTCCAGTGGCCCCAGTACAGGACCCCGCCACCAAAGCACCATCCCCAGGGCCCCCACAGTGCCAGATCGCCATTCCCGGAGTCACACGAGTGTCCCCAGTGCAGGACCCCAGCGCCAAAGCACCATCCCCAGGGCCAGATCGCCGTTCCCAGAGACACACCAGCGTCCCCCGTGCAGACCCCGGTGCGTGTCCCCCGTCCCCCTCACACTAGGAGGAGACGCAGGCCTGCTCGGCCCCGGTTACTCACAGCAGCCGCTCGCCACCCTCCATCTCCTGTGCCGCTCCTCAGCCTCCCCGTTGCCTCCCGACGGGGCACGGTCCGCCCGGTCCCGCCCCCGGCCCGCCCCGCCGGCGCCGCCATCTTGCCGTAGTCCTGCCTCTCCGTCCGCCGCCATCTTGCCCCGCCCCCCTCCGTACACCGCCCCGCCGTGCGCCGCCATCTTGCCCTGCTTCTCACTCCTCCGTACGTGGCACGGGCGCCGCCATCTTGCCTGTCGGCGGGCGGGGTTCGCCGTAAACCGGAGAGGGGCTCGGCCGGTGCCCGGTGCGCGATGCGGGCGGGCGGGGAGGCGCCGCACCAGGTGCTGGGCCGGCTGCGGTTCCTGCTGCAGTGCAGCGAGTGCTTCCGCTGCGCCCGGGCGCTGCCCGCCGCGCTCTGCTACGTGCCCAAGGAGGTGCAGTACAAGATCTGCAAAGACCCCGCGGCCGCCGCCGCCGCCGCCGCCCGCAGCCTCCTGAGCGTGTGGGACAGCCCGGGGCCGGCGCGGGGCGGGAAGCGGGCGGCGCGGGCCACCATCGAGGTGCGGAAGGGCGGCTGCCTCCGCGCCACCGGCGAGGAGTACTGCAACGGCGCCGGGCTCTGGGTCAAGCTCAGCAAGGTAACGCGGGGGCGGCGGCCCGCGGAGGGCCCGGCCCGGCCCCGCCTGACCGCCCGCTGTCCCCGCAGGAGCAGCTGGAGGAGTACCGGAGCGGCTGCGATCTAGAGGAGGGCTGGGTGCTAGTGTGCAAACACGCCGACGGCGGGGACCGGCTGGTGCCCGTGGAGTCCACGGAGCGGATCCAGCGGCAGCAGCAGCTTTTCGGGGTTGACTACAAACCCGTCATCAGGTGCGGGGCCGCCGCGATGCCCCGCTGCGTCCCCGGGAGCAGGGAGGTGCTCACCCGGGACCAACTGTCTGGGGGCTCGGGGGGCTGCCCCTCGGCCCTTTCTGCTCTGAACTGGGGAACCCCAGCCCGTTCGGACATGTTCCATGGAAATGAGGCAAGAGGGATGCCGGATGTGGAGTGAACTGGGTTTGGCTTGGGCACTGTCCTTGTCACCTGCCCAGCGGGGTGTGGAAGGAGTAGACATGGATGGAAAGGAAAGGGTGACAGTTGAGGCTGGAGGTGATGGAGTATGGTGGGGCTTTAAACCCAAATCTTCCCCATCAAGCTACTCCTTGTTCCTCTTGGGACTTTCTCACTCCTTCCACTTCTCTGTGTTGTTTCAGATGGGAGCAGGTGGTGGATCTGACATACTCCCTGCGCCTCGGAGCAAAGCCCAGGCCCATGGAGCAGGATGAGGCTGCAGTAGAGAAGCTTCGGTATGAACTGTTTTTCGACTTCTGCTTGTTGGGGGGACAGGCTGCTGTCTCTCCCTGGCTGCTCAGACAGCTGTCTCCTGCAGATGGGGGTGAAAGGGAGGGAGACAGGCAGCGGGGAACAGCTCTGTTCATCACAGTCTTGTCCTAGATAAGCCTGCAAAAGGCAGGAAACAGGGCAATACAAGGCAAGCAGGATGCAGACCTCCCTTTTTTGACCCATAAGCCTGGCTTCCTCTGGCTCTCCAGACCCAGTAATCCCTTTTCCCTGGTAGGTTTGTGCCCCCAACTTGGACTTATGAATGTGATGAAGACCTAGTGCATTTCCTGTATGACCACATTGGGAAGGAAGATGAGAACTTGGGCAGCGTTAAGCAGTACGTGGACAGCATCGATGTCTCGTCCTACACGGTGGGTTAAAGGGACAAGGCTGCATTGGTCCAGCTGTGCCATGGGGCTGTGGAGCACGGAGCTTGCTGTGCTGCTCTGGACTGGACTGGGCTATGTTTGAGAATGTGGCAGAGAAGCCTGGAGAGCATCATGCAGCATGTTGTGTAATGTGCCCCTGGAGGGACAGTGGTTTGAGAAGCCAATGCTAATATTAGTTGCTAAGCTGATTTTAGGGAGGGGTTGTTATTTTGTGCTGTGTGTGTGACCTCAGAGCACCTTGGAGGGCCAGTCCCAGTGTCCTGTGCACTCTGTACTCCCCTTGTCTACCCACAGCCAGGCAAAGGGAACGGGCCAGTGTGATGCCCCCTGGCACTAAGATTCATGACAAAAGTAACCGCTAAAGGGAAGTTAATCCCACGCCCATCTGATCTTCCTTTCATTCACTGCCCTCTTCCAGGAGGACTTCAATGTGTCATGCCTGACCGACAGCCGTGCTGACACGTACTGGGAGAGTGATGGGTCCCAGGGCCAGCACTGGGTGCGGCTCAACATGAAGAAAGGCACCATTGTCAAGTGAGTCATCTCTGCTCTGCACACTGGCTTTTGACTGGGACAAATTCTGTGACTCCCTCTCTCTGCCTGAGTCTGTTATGGCCCAAATATGCCCTGCACTCCCAGCCCCTCAGCCTTTACTCTGCCTCTGGGTTTGAAGGGGTCTTGGCATTGTCACAGCTATCTGGAGATCAGAGCACCAGCTGCATGTGCTTGGTAACAGTGTGACCAGGCAATGAAGGGGAGCAGCGACGGGTGTTCAGATGCAGTTGCCTTCTCATGTCCTGCTTCCCTTTGCAGGAAGCTGCTGCTGACAGTGGATTCCAATGATGAGAACTTCACACCCCAGCGGGTTGCTGTGTATGGGGGCGAGGGGGACAATCTGAAGAAACTGAACGACGTCTGCATTGAGGAGTGAGTGGATGGAGGTACACAGGTTAGCGTGGCCCTTGCAGGGGCTGGAGGTGCTGAACACTCCAACCCTAAGCAGTCATATGGCCCCAGCCAGGCTCTCTGAGCTGTGGGTTCACTCTGCCTACAATAGCAGACAGCACAGCCATCAGTGCTCCCGATCTGATTGTGGGACTCATCAGAATCATGTCACCTGGACCTGTGTCACCAGCAGGTTCAGGCGTTCAACTGTATTACAGGCAACTGGGTCTGGGTGCCTACCACAGGCTCCCATTTCAAAAGATGGAAACCCTCTTCCCTTATAAGCATCCAAGTGGATTTTGGCAGGATGGGTGAGAGAACAGCCTTTCAGCCTTCATCTGTGCTGTGTTTGCAGCAGCTACATTGGGGATGTGTGCATCCTTGAGGACATGACAACACACCTGCCTGTCATCGAGATCCGGATTGTGGAGTGCCGAGGTAGGGCTGGCTGCAGTGGCCACATCCATAATGCACCTGTATGATACTGTACGTTAAGAGTTTGTTCTGTGACTTGTACTTCTTGTTCCTGCGGGCTTTTTCTGATGAGATGCAAAAGAACCAGGGGGAAACTCCAGGGAGATCTGATGTTTTGGAAGTTCTCGGCTTTCATCCTATCTTTCTCTGCCTTCAATTATTTAATTTTTTTTCTCCTGTAAATGCCCCACTTCTTTACAGAGATATTTCAGGCTTTCAGTGCCCAGCCCCAGAGCTGGTGGAGCTGGTCACATTCCTAATGCTTTTGCCTGTAGACCTTCTATGCTGGAAGGCTTATTTCCTCTTGGTCATATCATCCATGGTCTTCCTTGGCAGATGATGGGATTGACGTTCGTATCCGAGGCATCAAAATCAAATCCTCCCGACAGAGGGACTTGGGGCTCAGTGCTGACATGTTCCAGCTGCCCAATTTGGTGCGCTACCCTCGCCTAGAAGGGACTGACCCTGACCTGCTGTACCGCCGGGCCGTGCTTATTCAAAGGTACTGGGTGGAGGGGAGCAGACAGGTGGGGTGGCATTGCCTGCAGGGGTTGCTGCCATCTCCAGCATGCATAGGGCTGGATGCTGTAAAGTTGTGTGACTCCCTTTGGGACAGACATTTTGGACACTGGAGAAAATAGCAGAATCATTTGAGAGCAAAGTGGGCTCTCTGGGGTAGCTCCCTTAAGCTTTCAGAGGAGTTTTGCAGCTCAAGTGCAGTGTCTTGTGTGTTGCAAGCACAGCATATCTGTGCAGTGTGGGGGCATGTATATGCAGAGTCCCTTGTAAGGGAGCGCAAGATTCACTGCAGTGCCCAGGGAGTGGGAATTTAGTACCAAAGGCTGTGTGATGTGAAAAACCACACTGGGTTTGTTTTGGATGAGTTATTATTTTTCTGCTTGTGTCCAGGGGGTGCTTTGTCTGAAATAGACTTGTGCAGATCCCCGTTCCTCCTGCATTGCAATACCTTTTTTGGGATTTAGGTTCATCAAGCTCCTGGACAGTGTCCTACATCACTTGGTGCCAGCCTGGGACCACACTGTTGGCACGTTCAGCAAACTCAAGGTGAGCAGTTCCCTTGATGTCTTGTTGGGGCCTCATTCTGGCAGGGCTTGGGCTGTGTCAAGGGAGGCAGCCAGTGCTTGTTGCCTTTAAAGCAGCTCAAGGGAAATACCCGGCTGAGCTCAGTTCATTAATGCTGTGAAAAGTGATACTGTTTAGAGGTCAGTTTCCTGCTAAACCACGGATGTGGAAGCATGTAGCTGTGGGGTAACAAGAAGAATCAAACCAGAACATTTCACCCTCCAAAACACTTGGACCATAGCAGCACTGGGCACTTGAGCTGGATACACTTCCCTTACAAGATCTAAGCCCAGGACACTCCGTTCCTGCACTTACTGCCAGCAGCTTTGAGCTGGCTGTGTCCAAACTGCAAGGCTTTTACCAGTAACTCATTTCTGGCTTTAATAAGCTTTTGCTTTCCATCTTTCTCATAATGCTGAGTTCATCCCTTCAGTTGTCTGTTTTCCTTACATCCTCTCCAAGAATACATATGCTGGACATAACTGGGATAGCTCCATTCTGTGTGTTTCCAGGCCAGCTCAACATAGGACCCAAAGCATTTGAGGATTCTTGTTTGCTTAGAGGAGCTGGCTTTGATTACAAATGGGAGGAAAAGTAAGATCAATTTTCTGGTGGGAGGGAGGGTAAAGGAGGGTCTAAGCAGTACTGGGGTGTGAGCATTGGATGAGAGCTGATGGACTGAGGACTGAGCTTGATGTCTCCCTCAAGCCAGAATGCAGAATCTTTTAGAGGCAGAGGGGGAGCAGATATTGCCAAGGGGAGTCTGTCTGTTTGGGAAGGCAGTGGCCCTGGGAAAGGGAGAGACCTGGAGGTGTGGTGTCTACAGTAGGAAGTAGGTGACATGTTTTGTACATACCTGTTGGCAGCACATCAAGCAGTTCCTGCTGCTGTCCAAGAAGCGCACGGCCCTCATTACCCAGTGCCTGAAGGACTCGGAGACCAGCAAGCCCAATTTCATGCCGCGGCTCTACATTAACCGACGCCTGGCTATGGAGCACCGAGATAACCCTGCCCTGGACCCCAGCTGCAAGAACGCTGTCTTCACCCAGGTACTGTCCCTCCTGGAAGGGTCCCTGCTGCTCTGGGGAGAGTGGGGCATCCCAGAATGAGAATGATCCGCATGAAGGTGGGTGGAAGGGACAGCTTGGAGCTGGAGATACCTAGAGCCCTCAAAGCCTCTTCATGTGACTGTTAGGCTCTCTAATTACATGTGCTGATGATCCCATATCCAGGAATAACATGTAGGAGGTATTTGGGATCTCTGAGTTGAAATCTGTACTCTGTCCTGGATGCTCTCTGTGGCATGTTGTTAATGCAGAGGGTAACAACCTTGTTACACTAAAAGGGCAGCAAAGAATTCTTGTGTGACAACAGTCATGCGGTTGCATACAGTCCTGTGTCATGGTTTTACAGCAGTGCTGATCTTCCTGTGCTCATTTTCTGCCCACCTCCAAAGGATTTAGTGCTCTGTGTGTGCACAAACAGCTCAGACTGCTGTGAAATTTAATGTATTCAGTGCACCTCTGAGGCTCAGAGGTGGGACACTGTAATTTGTGCTCCCTTTCCAAAAATGAAGGGTTTCTAGACCATTTAGAGATCAGCTTCAGTCAGTATTTAATGGTTTGGGGCAAACCAGATTTCTTCCAATTTCCTGCCTTCACCTGGCACCAGTTCCCCTGGAGAAGGGATACCAGCCTTGATCTTCTCTGCTTGTTGCAGGTATATGAAGGCCTGAAACCCTCAGACAAGTTTGAAAAGCCTCTAGATTATAGGTAAGTGGTGTCTGGATGAGAGGGGGCATCATGCAGTGCTGGGAGCTATGTCCTCTGTCACAGCAGAGCATTTGGGAAGCCTTTGTGTGTCCTGTGCTCTGGAGAGGTTTTGCTAGGACAGGAGCCAGTTCAGCCATGGGATGAGGGCCTGTTCTCCAAGGTGTCACCTCCCTACTGAGGATGCAGCTGTCTCTGGAGATTGAGACCTTGTCCTGTCCTAAGCCCAGGCTGCTCCACTGTAGTCTCCTGGTGTTTCTGCTGTGCCTGCTGCTTTCCCAGCACCTCCTTGGCTTTGAGCAGCACCTCAGGCAATGCCTGGCTTTCTGCAGGTGGCCGTTGCGTTACGACCAGTGGTGGGAGTGCAAGTTCATCGCAGAGGGCATCATCGACCAAGGTAGGGACTGCGCGGGGCTCCTCTGGAGCAGTTGGGGTTGATGAGCTGACTGTTCCTGTAGGGGCTCTTGTTTGCTCCCAGTGTTACTGCCCGTGGAGGAGAGAGGGAAGGCAGGTTGCCTTGTCCTGCTGCTCCCAGCCATTTCCTAGATGCTGCTTGCTGGGATGGGGATCAGACCTCCATTAGTCACTAACAACAGCTTTACCAGTGCCAATGCTCCTTCTGGCTGTCCTCCCCAGGCCAGGCAGGGATGTTATTTTCCTGTCTTATTTCCTCTGTCAGAGCCTCCCATAAGGCTCTGACAGGAGCCTTCTGCTAAACCTAGGACCAGGTTGGACCAGGATTCCTCATCTTTCCTCCATAACAGGGTCAGCACATGAGGAGTTCACATCTCTAAAAACGTCCTTCTCTTGGGGTTGCAGGTGGCGGTTTTCGGGACAGCCTGGCGGACATGTCGGAGGAGCTGTGCCCCAGCTCAGCAGAGACCCCTGTGCCTTTGCCCTTCTTTGTGCGCACGTCCAACCAGGTGCAATGGGTCGGGATATCTGGGACAGACCCTTCTGGGCCTGGTAATGCAGTGCTGTCCCTGTCCCCTTGCATGCCAGGGACATACCTGCTTCGGCTGGTCCGAAGCTTTTCGTTGTGAAGGGTTGGGTAAATTGTTTTGTGACATCTCATTTTAGAATATGCTAACAAGTGCCTGGATACTGACTGGTCTCTCACTGGGAATATGGTCAAGGAGGATGGGGGGTTAGCCCACTTCTGCTGTGAGAAGTGCCCAGAGGCATGGCAGGAATGGTCTGTGGTGTTTCATGCTGTGCTGAGATCATGACTTGGAGTTTTGCCTCCCACTCCTGTAGGGTAACGGCACTGGAGAAGCCAGGGACATGTATGTCCCCAACCCATCCTGTAAAGACTTCCCAAAGTATGAGTGGATTGGGCAGATCATGGGAGCAGCTCTGAGGGGCAAGGAGTTTCTGGTAAGCTTTCAACACCATCCCTGCGAGATCTGCTGCAAAGGGAGTTGTTAGCCCCCTCCTGCAGCCTGTCCGACAGGAATATGCGAAGGCTCTGTGTCAAACACTGGGACTAAAGGTGTTTGGCAGGGTTTGAGGCTGAGGGATTTGGAGAACTCAGAGGCTGAGTCTGGGGGGATGCTGCTGAGAGCTTGGGAGACAGTGCCTGGTCTCTGCTTAGCTATGATGAACTCTGCATGTGGACAGGGGGAGCAGGGAAGCTGCTTTGTGTCTGTGTTGTTGAGCCCTATGTCCTTCTTTGGGGATGTCTCGTTTTCACACAGACTCAGCAAAATTTCTGTTCTCCTTCAGGTCCTGGCTCTTCCTGGCTTCGTATGGAAACAGTTAACAGGGGAGGAGGTCAGCTGGAGCAAAGACTTCCCTGCTGTGGACTCTATGTTGGTGAGAGGCACAGCCTCCCAGTTCTTATCCTGTTCCTTGTGGCACTCGGCAGTGTGGTGATTTGTGTCCCTGTCCTCATGTACTTGCTTCCTCCTGTGATCTGTCAAAGAAACACACGCAACAAAGGGCAGCTCTTAGCTATAGGGTGCATCTAATGCTAATATAGAGATGCAGCCATACTGACTGCTGCTTTAAGCATGCAATGGCCCAGGGTCTGCTAAACAGCTCTACAGCAGCATATCCCATGCTGTGTCACTGTCACTTGTCTGGGAAGGGAGGAGACGGGGACGTGGGCACATCACTGCTCACTGGGCGTCTCTCTAACAAGCACTTATTTGGGGCCTGGGCAGGTGAAGCTCCTGGAGATGATGGAAGTCATGGACAAAGACACCTTTGAGTTCAAATTTGGGAGCGAGCTGACCTACACAACAGTGCTGAGCGACCAGCGCGTGGTGGAGCTGATCCCCAACGGCAGCAACACCGTGGTGCGCTACGAGGACCGCAAGGAGTTCATCCGCCTGGTGCAGAAGGCTCGGCTGGAGGAGAGCAAGGAGCAGGTAATGCTGTCCCGTAGCGTTGGTGGTCATCAGTTCCCAGAGACACCCCACCAGTCTGCTTCTGGTAAAATGCATCGTGGTTGGTGTCCCTGTGCTCACTAGTGCAATGGTAGCCAACCCTTTTGGTGAGGTCCTGGAGCCGATGGGAGTTGTTCAGAAGCAGAGTGGCTTGTAGCAGCATGGGTGATATGGGTTTTTATTCCCAGTTCTGATACAGGCTTCCTGAATGAACTGGGATGCATCTCTCTGGGATTCTGTCCCCTTCTTCAGGTTCCTTGGAGCATTTGCTGAGCAGTCATATGGCTTACATCCAGTAGAGTCCCTAGGCTCAGCCATGAGTCAGAGAAATGGGCAAGACATGCTGCTTACCTGCCCTGTCTCCTTTTCAGATCATGGCCATGCAGGCTGGGCTGCTGAAGGTGGTGCCCCAAGCTGTTCTTGACCTCCTTACATGGCAGGAACTGGAAAAAAAGGTCTGTGGAGACCCTGAAGTCACAGTTGATGCCCTGAAGAAACTCAGTAAGTGAAGGGCTCTGCTGAAAATTCTTTTCCTGAAAACAGGACTGTCTTCTGTCTGTGCTGGGACAAGGAGAGGTGTGGGAGGCTGGTGTTAGCCTTTATTACAGTGACAGTGTGGGCCTGTGTACTTCCTGGCTCTAGCTGGGTGCTGATGGGGGCAGAGGTGTCTGTTGACTCCATGCTGGGCCTCAGAGTAGAGGCTGGGACATCCCTACGCTGCCAGTATCTGAGCCCCTGTGGAGCTGATATGTGGATCTGGCTGATCCACAGGGATCTGTCTGCATGTGCCCCTTGCACCTTGGGTCTATGTGCTCACACCCTGTGGGCACCCAGAGGTTTCTTCCTGTGCTAGCAAAGAAGGAGCTGGGATCTTTAATAAACTCCTTTCTGTGTCCTTTCTGCCAGCCCGGTTTGAGGACTTTGAGCCACAGGACACCCGTGTTCAGTACTTCTGGGAAGCACTCAACAACTTCACTAACGGTGAGCGCTTTGCTCTGTCCCTGCATCTCATGCCATGACAGCTCCTGCATGCTGGCTGGGAACTGGGAAGGTGAAACCAACCCTCATTGCTGCCTGGGGAACAGCTGGGAGCCAAGGAGAGCAAGCAGCTGGGCTGGAGGAACTGCTTGCTAGCACTGGGGATACCTGGAAGCAGCTGTACATCCCTCTAGGGTTTGCTGATACCTTTGCTTTTCCTTCACAGAGGATCGCAGCCGCTTCCTTAGATTTGTCACTGGCAGAAGCCGCCTTCCAGCACGGATCTACATCTATCCAGACAAGATGGGGTAAGTCCATTCTTCTGTAGGCTGCAAGGCTGACAGATCCCATGCCAAAGGGATGTGTGGTCTCATCTCCACTGCCTCACTGGCCTGCTGGTTCTAACCAGTTTGTCACCATCTCCCCAAGCTCTGAGACGACAGATGCTTTGCCGGAGTCATCCACCTGCTCCAGCACTCTCTTCTTGCCCAACTATCCCACGTAAGTTTTGGTGCTTCCCTGTGTCTGGGAGACTGTGTGTCTGGGCTCTCTTCTTAACCTTGGTGCTGACCCATAGGGCCACACTTACGTCTCCTGCCTGTCCCATGTGGCTGTTGAGATTCTCTCTGTGAGCAGCTGGTGAACATTTTGTCCTCTCAGCTGGCAAATGCAGCAGTGGAAACTCCTCCTTATCTTTATTTTTTTCCCCCTTCTGCCATCCCTAGAGCCAAGGTGTGTGAAGAGAAGTTGCGCTATGCTGCCTATAACTGTGTGGCCATTGACACAGATGTGAGTCCGTGGGAAGAGTGATGTTGCAGCCTGACCAAGCAGCATGGACAGTCATTCAAGAAAACCATGCAGTGGGAAGAGCTCCCTTGTTTTTCCGGGATGTGTATATATAATAAACATATAGGTGAAGCCTGGCTCCCAGAGTGGATATGGAGGTTGGGTCTTCACCAGGGTGGGAGCTAGCTTGGAGTGTAAATATGATTGTAATAATGAAATCCTGGCCCAGCTCTCAGGCATCAGGAAGGTCTGGTAGGCTTTTGTAGTGAGTTTCTTCTCCACATGTCCCTGTTGTAGCTCTGTAAAGCTCGCTCCACCCAGGCTGCACTCTGCTGCAGACAGAAGTGGGACAGGGACATGAAGCTGCACAGCACAGAGAACTCTGAGCTGCTGCTGAGACCGGGGGAGGCTCAGAGATGCTCAGTGTGTCTTGACCACATTCCCTTGCCTTGTTCCTGCCCTCGCCTTAGGCTAATGGAAATGAGATCATTCATCTAGGATTCAGAAGAAAAGGGGTGGGCTGGTGGCAGGTGCTGCAGGGGTGCCTTTGGCCACCAGGTGTCATGACAGACCTGCACAGCAGGACTGTGGGTGCTTTGGAATGGACTCCCATGCTGTTACATCGCACAAAATCCAAGTTCTGTGACCACCCGTGGTTCCTTGCACCCCTTGCACAGCAGTGACTGCTGGGGGAGCTGCTCCCCCACAGGAGGTGGAAACTGTCTATTTGCTTTTTCCTCCGTAACTTTCAGTTCTGCATCCAGCATGCTGGTGGCTTGGCAGCTGTTCTCCCAGGCTCTTTGAGCCTTGATTTTCCCCTAAAAGCCAGTATTAACACTAATCTATTTGAGTTCTCATGGAGCTGTGCAGGGAGGGCCAAGCTCTCCTCACAGGCAGCAGGGATTAGAGGCAGGCATGGCAGTACCAGGCTCTGCTCTTTGCTGAGGGAAGGGAGGTGTATGTTTCAGGTGAACAGGGAAAGCCTTTGCCCCAGGGCAGTGGAGAAACTCTGGGTGTCAAGAATTGGAGCTCCTTGAGCAGATGGGCATGCAGTGCGTGAGTGAGGAGTGGGCAATGAAACCTTTACAGCTTCAAGACCATTGGGAATACTCCTTGATATTCCCAGCCCTGGGCAGGGCTGCTCATTGCCTAGCACTGTGAGCTACCAATTGTTAGTCCACGTTTATACCTCCAACTCCATCCTCAGCCTGTGTGGTCTGTTGGACCACCACTAAGAGCCACAGAGTCACTGAGGCTGCACTGGAGTGGGGCTGATGCTGTGAGTTAAGATTATTCCTGTGTTTAATGCTTCATGGCTTTTTCTCATCTTTTGAGGGAGTCTGTCAACCAGAAATCACTTCCAGTTGTAAACATAGTCCTTCCCTTCACCAGTTTCCTTTGAAATTGCTGTAGTCCCAGATCTGCTGATGGGGGTTGTGCTAAAAGGGATGTAGGAGCAGGAGGGAGCATGTGCTGCCACCTCCCACATCGTGGTGACTGGAGGGAGCACAGGGTGAATGGGGAAGCTGTTTCTGGCAGTCCTTGCCTGCAGCAGGGCCTTCCATGCTCAGCTGGGTGGGTGTGAAGTCCTGTCTGCCACAGGAGTTTTTTATAAGTCCTAGACTCATCTCAGAATTGATATCTCTGGCTTTGTGGCTGATTCCAACCACCAGCATGGACGGGAGCAAAGCCAGTGCAGTACCTTTCCGTGGTGGTGGCTGAGTCCCTTCCTGGAGTGTCTGTTTTAAATGGGCGTGAGCAAGCTGGTGAAAGGACTTTGATCTGCTGGCTTGGCCTCAGTCAGGAGTGTTGGGGAAGGAGCCTGAAGCAGCAGGGGTTTGAAATGAGCCATCCTAGATCTGAAAGGGACTGACATTTGGGTGGAATCAATCCTGCTTTTTCCAACCTTGCCCACTTGTCTCTTAGGCAGATCAGCAGGCAGTCACATTATTTACTGAGCAGAACTAGAAGCAGCAATAAAAATTGATTCCTCTCTGGTGCTTTATTGCTGGGCAGGGTAGGGTTGTTTGATAAGTGGCTCAGGGCAGGATGGATAAGGCCCTAGTCTTTGGTGAAGGGTGAGCTGACGTCACCTGTAGAAATGGGCAGGTTAGGATCCAGCTAGGGCTGCTTGGGATGACCAGCTGTTGGCAAGCAGGCACCTCTGGCTCTGCTGCCCTTGGAAGCAGCTGCAGCTGATGGAGGGTAACTGAGGTAATTATGGAGATGTACCCTGACCTCTTATTTCCTGCTACCAAGAAGAGTGCTGCCCAATGGCTTACTGGAGCTCTGGGGAAAGAATTTAGCTGGTGACAGGGATTTCTGTTTAAAAAATACTTGGTAGTAACAGGACCCTGGCCCTAGCAGAAAGGGGATCACCCAGGATGGTCTGGGTTTAACCCCTACAAACATACTGAGAAAAATGGCACTGGCTGTACCGGGCTGAGGAGACCTGTGAAAGCCCTTCTAGTAGGAGGAAGAGCCGATCACATCACTGAGGTCTCGGGTGAGATCGTTTTGTGCACAGTCAGAGAGTCTGGACAAACGTGGCTGCTGAGGAAGGACGACGCCAGGATAACCCACAGATCACGCTGTTGAGTTTGCTGTGCAAAGGTGAGCTGAGAAGGGGGAGCTGGGAAGTGGCCTGAATCTCCTCTGCATGGTCCTCTCTCATCTGTGGTGTTTTAAAGTCAGTCGCAAATTGAATTTCTGCTGTGACAGCCCAGTGAATTGTGGAAAAGGTCAGCCTGACTCAACTCTGGCCAATCTCAGGGGCCCAAGGTAGGTGTTATTTCAGTGCTGGGTCACATTTTTTCTCTGATCTCTAAAGGTGTGGGTAGGAACTGTCTCCTACCATGTTTGGCAAGACACAAGTCAAATGCCAATGCCCTTGACTCCTTCTGGATGTGGCCAGGGTGAGGGAGCCCTCCTGGGCGCCAGGAACCAGAGGCTGTGCATCTTCACCCCATCAACCAGTCTGAAGTTCGTGAAGATCAATTTTCAAGCCAATGCCATCCTGAGAAAGGTGCCAGTGCCCCTGTGCTGCTGAGGAGTATCTGTGTGCCAGAGCTGCAGCTCTACAGAGTGGGCAGGGATGAGCTGGAGGAGGAACTGATGCCATCAGGATTGTCACAGAATAGTTTCAGGTGATTAATAACGCTCATGTAGTCTAGCTGTTCTTGTTATTCCACTAATACCCTGGAGTATGACAAACTGTAAGTAGTTTGACAGGTTCTGTCTGTCCCTACCTCATGTAGGATCTAAAATAAAATGAACAAACTAATTGCTCCTGACCTTTCTGGTGATTGGTGTGGTCTGACTCGGGCTCCTGTGTCCTTCTGTTGGGTTAAACAGTGAATGTGACACTCAGGGACATGGTTTAGTGATGAACATGGCAGAGCTGGGTTTACAGTTAGACTCAATGATCTTAGAGGCCTTTTCCAACCTAAATGATTCTGTGATTCTAAACAGCAGGGGAGACTGGTGTCATGAGAAGCAGCTGGAGGTGAAGTGGAAACTGGCCCTGTGGTCCCCTTTGCACACAAAGTGGTGTCATGGAAGTGACTCAGAGTATTAATTGGCTCAACCCTTTGCAGCAGCTCTGCAACCAGAGTTACAGGGTGATGTGGCTGCAGAGGGAGGGCACAGGACCCTCCTGGCTGTGGTAACTGCAGGCAGAAGCAAGGCAGAAGTCTGCATTTCTCTCACACTGTGGTTCAGGGCACTTTGCTCCTGGCAAGGCGGGTGCCCATTACTGTGTTGAGGCACAGCCACGCCTGTTCAACAGATAACGCTGCGGGGGTGACAGCTGTTGGATCAGTTTGCACCGTGCCTTTGCAGCCAGGGATGGAACCGGACTCTGACCTGCCAGGAAAGCAGTCCAGCACCAGAACAGTGCAGGGACCTTTGAGCTCTGCCAGGCTGGTTGTTTCATGATCCCTAAATGTGGCCTGTAGTGCCCAACCTGAAGAAATTAAGGAAGTGTGGGGTGGAGCTGAGTTGCTCTCTGCCACCACCCTCCCGTGGTATGTAACAGGCAGGTGTGACATGGGGTGACACACTGCCAGTGTTCTGGGTGGTTGGGTACTGCTGGGTGTCATAGCATTGCTCCTGCTGCCAGGATGCCACTGCTGGCTGGGGTAAAGCTGCTCCTGGGTCAGGAAGCCTGTCATCCTCCCCAGCTGATGCTGGAGCATCCCCACCGGGGTCCAGCCTGCCAGGGGCAGGAATACATCCCCCTGCCTGGGGCAGGAATATGTCCCCCAGCTAGCCGGGAGCTGGTTCTCCCCACAGCAGGATACCTGCTGCCCTCTTTTCCCTATCGAGGCTGGAGAAGTAGCCCTGTGCCCTGACACCCCGTCTTTGCTTGCGGGGATGCCGGCAGTGACAAAGATGTTGGAAGCCGGGAGGAAGCAGAGTCCTAAGCCGTGGGGTGAGGGGGTGCCTGTGACCTGAGTCAGCTCCTGCCGAGAAGTGAGGGACTGGGGTGGGCGTAACACAGTCACGTCTTGGCAAAGGAGGGATAGCGGAGGCCCCAAAGCTGGGATTGCGGCCCGGGACGGATGACGGGCTGGGACGTGCCGGCGGACACGGGCGGAGCGGAAGCCGCCCGGGGAGGAGGCGGCGACCGGGCAGCGAGGGCTGCCCGAGGCGGGGCGGCACCGGAGACAGACGGGCGCGGCGGCACCGCCGGAGGCGAACCGCCCCCGCGGTCACTCCGGGGCGGGCAGCGCCGGGCCGCAGTCGGGACAGCCCGGGGCGCAGCGGAGCCGGTGCCCGGTGCGCGATGCGGGCGGGCGGGGAGGCGCCGCACCAGGTGCTGGGCCGGCTGCGGTTCCTGCTGCAGTGCAGCGAGTGCTTCCGCCGCGCCCGGGCGCTGCCCGCCGCGCTCTGCTACGTGCCCAAGGAGGTGCAGTACAAGATCTGCAAAGACCCCGCGGCCGCCGCCGCCGCCCGCAGCCTCCTGAGCGTGTGGGACAGCCCGGGGCCGGCGCGGGGCGGGAAGCGGGCGGCGCGGGCCACCATCGAGGTGCGGAAGGGCGGCTGCCTCCGCGCCACCGGCGAGGAGTACTGCAACGGCGCCGGGCTCTGGGTCAAGCTCAGCAAGGTAACGGCGGCACCGGGAACCACCCGCGGGATGCCGCTGTCCCTGACACGGCGCTGACAGACCGGGATGTACCTTCAGGAGCAGCTGGAGGAGTACACGGGCAGCCATGGCCTGGCAGAGGGCTGGGTGCTGGCGCAGAGGTTCGGAGAGGGAGGAGATAAGCTGGTCCCGGTTGACTCCGTGCAGAGGATCCAGTGGCAGCACGAGACGCTGGGGGTTGATTACAGACCTGCTGTCAGGTATGGCCTCAGCCCTCGCCCCGGGCGGGGACTGGGCTGCGCTGTGGGGGCTGGAGACGCGTGTGGCCGGTACCCACAGAGGATACGCGACCCTGCCATCCCAAATCCCTTGGGCATGTCCAGCACAGCCCTCTCGCTCCCTCCAGCGCTGGTGAAACACACCCCCACCGAGCCACCGGTGGGCAGGTGGGTGCCCTCTTGCAGGCTAATCCTGTTTGCTTGTGGCAGCGCCTGCACAGGATAAAGATGTGAGGGGTTCCAGGGCACTCGGATTTGGGCTGAGCAATGTCGTGGAGGTAGTGCCGTGATGAGAGAGCTCAAATTTGATTTTTGTGATGGAAGGCCATATGCAGGGCTGGATTCCTCTGCTCTGTCCCAGCCTGTACCTGGGTGCAGGGGCACTCTCATCCCTCCCACAGCTGTTCCTGCAGCCCCTGGGTGTCACCCCCAGTCCTCCACCACTGCTGCCTCCACTCCAGGCTAAGGCAGTAATGCTTGGGCACACTGAGCACTGACCCATCTTTTCCCATGTATGATTCCTCTGCTGATGCTGCTCCAGCTGGGAACACGTGGTGGACCTGACCTACTCCATGCACCTTGGAGAGATGCCCAGACTCATAGAGCAGGATGAGGCCGCCGTGCAGAAGTTTCGGTATGAGTGCATCTCCTAGAGTGGGACTGCAGCACCCTGAGGGGCAACCAGCCAGGGCCTGGACATGCCTGCAGGACTAGGACTGGCTTCAGGCTCGGGACTGGGGAGGGGGGGTGCCATGAGAAGCCTTTTACAGTGGTTCCTCTCGACACTGCTCAAGTAAAGATGGCCTTTGCTCCGTGGAGCATTGGAGCGACCGCGTGCTGCTATTCCCACTGGGCTGGAGTGGCCATAAACCCCTGGCGTGCTGGTGATGAGATACAGCTGTGCCATCTGCCTGCTGCAGGGACAGGTGCCAGTCACCATCCCGAGTTGGTGACCACGAGACAGTGTTGCCAATCTGAACTGGGGCACCTGCACGCTGCTGGTGGGCAGGTTTGGGGTGCAGCCTGGTCTCCTCAGCCCGTTAACACAGAGACTCCCTGCAGGTCTGTGCCCCCAGGCTGGAGCTACGAGCATGACATGGAGCTGGGGCGCTTCCTGTATGATCACAGCGAGAAGCAGCTGCAGCACGTGGACTGCATCAAGGAGCACATCAGCAGCATTGAGGTCTCCTCACAGACGGTGCGTAGTGGGGCTCCTCTGCAGCCTAAAATCAGCATGAGACACATGAGCATCACTGCAGCTGCGGGGAGGAGTGGCCAGCGGTGGCTGTCCCCTCTGTGAGGGGCAGGGGATGGTGGTGGGGTTTTGCTGCCCTAGCAAAGCCACCGGGAGTTGGGCATCTGGAGCAAAACCCCCCTGTGTCTCTGGGGCACTGCAAGGGGTCTGTGGCCATGCCCAGTTGCTCTGTGCAGGAGCCACCATCCACCTGCAGCCTAAGAAACCAAGGGGCTGGCCTGGTCCTGACCTCTTCTGGACCCACAGAACCCATCTCAGTGGTGGTCTTGGTGTGCCCAAGGATGCTTATCTCCCTCTCCCTGCTGCACTCTTGCAGGAGGAGTATGTTGCAGCCCATCTGACAGACAACCAGACAAACACCTTCTGGGAGAGCAATGGGCCCCCAGGGCAGCACTGGCTGCGGCTCAAAATGAAGAAAGGAGCCATTGTCAAGTGAGACCTCGGGGTGTTCCCCTCCATGCCAGCAGCTGTGCCAGGGATGGACAGGGTGCAGGACAAAGCACCCATTTCCTCCTCAACCCAGCTTTCCCCCAGCTGCAGCTGGGGACTTGGGGTTGAAGTGAGGGACAGCTGCTGCCAGAGGCACCCCAGGAAGACACAGCCTTACCCCCAGGCCTGGGAGAATTCTGGGGGCACCTCTGTGCCCAGGCAGCTCAGGACGGGAGGAGAACACTGTGCCTTGCTCTTCTCATCCCTAGGAGGCTGTGGCTGATGCTGGATGGGCAGTGCAACTCCTATATACCCAGGCGGGTGGCTGTGTATGGGGGGACACTGAACAGGCTGCAGCATCTGAGAACAGTCCTAATTAACGAGTGAGTAATGAGCAAGGAGCAGTCTGGGTTCAGCTTATGCTGAACTCCAGAGCTGGCTCTGCATCCTGAGCAGGTGCTAAGGAAAGGGCTGGGGTTGGTCCTGAGTTACTTGCCAGTGACAATGCTTCTCCAAGGGTTGGGACTCCCTGGGTGCAGGCTACATCTGTCCCCACAAGTGTGGTGGTCCCTCACCTTCATGTGCCAGCCGAGCGCCTTCATCTCCTCTCCTGCTCCTCACCTATGCTGTGGCAGCTGGTTTGCAGTGTGCCTCCTTCTGCCTGGTGACTTTCTGCCTCCTCCTCCTCCTCACCTCTGGGGACACATGCCACTGCTGTCACCCCTCTGAGCATCTCTGCCATGCTGTAGCCAAGAAGTCCTGGGAAGCTTCCTGTCCCTGTCTTCACTCTGGCTCTGAGCATCCTTCTCGAGGCAGGCAGGAGTTTACTCAGGAGTGTAAAGATCTCCTTCACCTTCCCCAAAACTTGCCCCTTTGCCTGTTTTGGCTGAGCAGTGAGATCTGTCTTTGAAGAAGCACCCATGAGACCACCAAGGTGTCCTTTGCAGCTGTGGGAGCCAACTCCTCCCTCTGTCTGCTTAGTTGCAGTGGTTTTTCCCCATGGGCCTGTAGGACTTTGATGGGACCTTGAAAAAGGCTTTGAAAATACACTTAGTGAATTGCTCATCTCCACAAATCCCCATTTCCTTCAAAAACCCTTGGATGACCAGCTCTGCTTGAAGGATGGTTCTGCCCTTGTGAGATGTGCTAGGACCCCCCAAGAACAGTGACATGCTCTCAGCTAGCTTGTGTTTCTGTACTGCTTTGAATTTGTGCTCTTTAGTGGCTCTTTGGATG